CATTGTACAGTGGCATTAAGTGCCTTATGGTGCACCTCTACCTAACCCTTCGGGAATAAAAAGGCGTGATGTTATGTGTTATAAGTACATTAAAATTATTCGTATAATTGAAACGTTAAAAAACGCTACCTACGCTATGCTAGCGTATCCGCTAGCGTGTGAAGTGTGAACATTTGTATTCAGTGAATGCAATGTAAATTAAAACAAAATTACTTGTTAACCTATTACTGTTTTTATAATAAAACCTAAACGTAAAATTCGAAAAGATTTAATGGAATCATTTTCAATCCTCTGGTGTTAGTCTAATGAAAATCAGTTCAGCAGTTTTTGAGTTAAGAGCACACAATACCATTACACGTGACTAGAGACTTTGTTGTATAACATGGAAAGCCGAACAAATCAACGAGTCCACCTTTTTAACAACAATGTATTGGAAATACCTAATTAATTGTTTAGCAAATTATTAATAAAAAATAAAATTACTATAACAAAAAAGTTCAAGGAAAATGTTCAAGCATCCGGTTTTATTGATTTATTTATTTCTTCTTCACAAAATGCAACAGTGAATGGCGGACTTAATGCCTTAAAGCATTCTCTGACAGTCAACCATAGGGAAGTGCAGAGAAATGAAGTGGTTGATGCGAAGCCAGAACACAATTTAAAAAAAAATGTTATGTAATATGTATACTACACATATAAATACCTATAGAATAAATATATTAATACAATATTTTATAAATCCGTATAGACATATACATACCATATAATATATATTGTTCAACAAATACTTATACCTACTGCATAAATACTAGAATATATTATATAAAAAGAAAACGTTGTCAGAAATAGTTTCCTCAGTTGTTTTGAGTCTGCCAATGCATAAGTAAATGCTTACGGACTTTAAATTTAAAGGAATTGCGACTTGTTGCCATTCTGATCTCCTTGGGCAGTTTTAACTGGTACAGTAGTAGTACAACTGGTACAGACTGGAATAGCTAGTATAAAAAGGACATTACTAATTCTATGTTAATTTATTGTTAACAAATAACGTTCCTTATTCAACGACATTTTATCCTTATATTTTTGACCAGAATTTCTTGGAACTTAGGTTTTGAAGTTCGAGTTTTAACTAAAGTCGGCTGAATGTCAACGTTTGACATACCTACCTATGATATATTATATATTTTTTATGGGATAAGCCGGAAAACGAGCAGACGGATCGTGTGGTGGTAAGCAATCGGTGTCGCCCACAGATACCCGGAACACACGAGACGTTATAAGTGCGGTGGCCTGTTGGCCGGCCTTTTGAGTTTAAATTATATTAGAGAAATTTTAATAAAGAATTGTGTTATAATTAACACATATTTTTTGAGGATATCGCCTCATCTGTCTTTTTAGAAGATATCCGTCTTCTTCAGTCTCTTCTCCATGGCTGAAGGATATATGAGTTGAGTCGCCAGGTCGTTGGAATGACCAGCTAGGCGTTCCGCATACTTTTCCTTGTATTTGTCTATCTCTGATTGAATTGTTGGAACAAATATATTTTGAATTTACAATTGTTCTATTAATTATCGTGGCATTTTTTATGATAAAAAAGTCATTATTAAAAAGCGATCATTCTAATACACGCTTCCCCTCCTCTGGTGCATTGCACCTGTGCAACAATGATTGCAGTTTTAATTTTATTATAGTTACTTATATTATGTCGAAATAAAACTAAGTTTCATTATTATGTATATACTGCGACACAGGAAATGTCAGGGATAAAGTTTTTGCACCGGTTAATTATTCACAATCACCATATCGAGGGGTAACGGACTATTTGGTTTAAGCGACATTTTGGGCGATTTTGAGTTATTACATATATTCGACGGAGAAAGATTCGCTGATTCCGAATATATATATAACTCAAAATCGCCCAAAATGTCGCTTAAACCAAATAGTCCGTTACCCCTCGATATTATTGCATTTATGTTGATATCCTTAAAACAAACCTATTATTAGTGTTTCTTGTCTGCATAGTCGAAAGATACAAAACCAATTTCATATTTTTAACACTACATATATTTCAGAAACGCAAAAAAGTGGTTCACGGAATATTAT